GTTTAATATTTAATATTTTAGGTTTGTTAACCAGAGCTGTTGAACTAAGTCAGTGGGTTGAACCATTTTATTTAACATGTGGAGATGTGGTGAATAGCGATAATATAGAACTTGGGTTAGCATATTCTTGGAGGAATGGAATTATTGACAAAAACTCTATACACATGGAATTTTTTGAACAATTTAAACTATATAGTTCATTTTTAAGTAATGTACTTAGATATCACCAAAACTACAAATAATAATAATTATTATTCTTCCAGATTGTTATAATCCAAAATCTTCATTACACTGCTACAAGAAAATAGATATTAATGATTCTTATGACACCATAGTAAGTGCTACAATTATGTTTTTAAGTTAATGTCAAATAAAATATTTAATTAATCAAATTATTTTAGCCATCGCCAGATGTAATAATGTCTTCATTAGAATATTTCCAAGGTCAGAATCTTATTGGTCTTCACATAACTGTAACACAAATTATGTGTTTATATCGTGCTATTCATCAAAATCAACAAAAATTGGTAAGTACTTAAATTAATAATAAAGTAGAAAATTATTACTTATAATAGATAATTATTATATAATTATATATTTTTGATACATTTCAGGAACCAGAGTTAACTAAAAAAGGAAATAATTTAATAAAAAGTAATGTCCGTCAAATATTAAAAAGTGTTACTTATTCTCGAAACTTGGATATGGATCTAGGGTTAGGTCTTTTAAATACTCTCAGAGCACATGATGCTTTCAATTGGCTTGAAGATGCGTTGAATAAGTATAAGAATATACAATGTTATAAAGTTATGGGGTTTTAATGGTTATATTTTTTAAATTATGTATTATTGTTTAATCTATAGCGTGGGGATGAACTATCAAAAATTAACAAATATTACAGATTTGGGATTAGTTTACTTACAATTAAATATTGATACTGCTGGTGACTTGTATGAAATTCTTAAATCGACAAAAAATAAATGTATTTGGGGTAAAAAATTGATGAAGTATGGATTTGCATTTAAAGGTATATAATTTTTTGTATGGCGAGATAATGAATATGTGTATTTATTCATTATTATTATTTTATTTTTAGATGCATTTTATAGTTCAGAATTAGATCAACGACACTTATTACAGAAAATGATAAGATCTCCTATCATAACATTAAATGTTTTAGTAGACTACTGCGCTGATACACATTTTGATTTACAACAAACTGCCAAATTATTTTTAGAAAGTTGCTTGATTCAATGGGAACCATACACACCTGGGGAAAATGAAGAGAAGACATTTGGTGAATAGTTTACAACAAACTTTTTAAATTATTCAATCAGTAAAATAAATTGCTAATTATTTTGCATATTATAATTTTTAGATTGGATAGCTAAAATAATTGAAGACAAAGATGCCTTATTAAAAAAATGTGAAGACATTTTCAGTGTTATTACAGAGAAAGCTGATGTTTTAGATTTTCTTTGGAACCATGTTTGGGAACAAGTAAGGCAACAATATATTGTACTTAAACTCGACTTAGTTTAAAATCTAAATGTTTTAAATGGATTTTTATTATTATTTTTTTTTAGGTGAATATTTATTACTATGAAGTATTTTTAGTAATAATGGGCTTAATTGAAAAATATGATGTAAATAGAATTTTAAAATTTCATGTTCAAAACGAAGTTTTATTATTTTTAATGCAATACAAACGAGTAAGTTTACCTGAAGAACACGAAGAAGAAATATGGTTTTCCATGTTCCAGGAATCACAATCATTACCTCCTATTTCTAAATACCGTTTACCTTATGTTCCACTTGCAAATAAAAAAAAAAAAAAAATTGGGCATCGTGAAATTCAGGCTTGGAAAATTATAAAACCAGAATTAACATTTTTAACGTATAATAAATGGTTTTCAATAATTGAAGCAATTGAAATGGACAAGGATACATTATGTATTTTAACTGTAAAGAATATGGTATGAATTGCTTAATGTACATTGATTTACAGACTAACTAAGTGTTTAATAATATTTTAGGTTAATGAGGTATCTTCTAAGGATAAGAATGTTGAATGGTATTTACATATGCGCTTGGAATCATTACTTAAAGATATTCAAGAAGTGTTGAGTAATGTAAAGAATTTAGAAATAGTTGCTGCCTCACTTTATTTTGTTGTGAATAGCTTACCTTTAGGTATTAATTATTAACTGTATTTTTTAATGTCAATGACTAATTTTAACTGTGCTGTTATATAAATATTAATCGTTTTTAGGTGCTGATCAGTTGGCAGCAGCTAAAATTAGTCATTCACAAGCTCAAGAATGGGTTAAATTAGAAAATTCGGAAAATGCCAAGGCTGGTATTACAAAAGTATGTATTTGTATTGTTATAATTAGAGACCGGAATTTTATGTTTTTACATATCTTTACTGAGAGTATGCAGCTCTAATTGGATAAGCTTTCTCTACGATTCATTTACCCAAGAACTAATATACAACATTTTTTTGAGCATAAAAAGAATATTTTAAGGTTAAAGAATATTTTGTGTAAAAAACATGTTTTAGGATTTAGGAATATATTGCCATATTGGGTTCAAATTTGAATATTTTATAAAAATCTAATAGATAATAAAAATTTTTTTATTTTTTATTATTTAAAACTTGTTATTATTATTTTTTGAGTTCATAAGGCTGGATTATTTAAGTTTGAGTACATAATATTATTCTGTTAATGAACTATATGCAATTATTTTTTATTTTAGTATTATTATTTTTTGAATTCACGAGTTGTGTTTCAATAGTTAAATATAGGTACACCAGTATGGCAGTATATCACCATATTATAGATTAAATATAACTGTTTATTTTTATAAGCTGTTACTTTTATTTGTTTCTTCAGTATTTAATATATTTTTATGAAAAATAATATTTTTTCATAAAAGAATATTTTTGTATATAAAAGATTATTTTTATGAAATTATAGAGCTTAGAAACATCTTATTTTCAAGATTTTAAGCTCATATAAATCTGAATTTTAGTTATAATTTATTTAAAATAAACAAAACTTAAAAGTTTTTCTTTTTTAAGGTTGTTACAAAATATGTGTTAATAACAACTAAACATATACTACACATGTATGGTTTTGGCAAAACAAATTATTTACAATTAGCATTGCAACCTAATGAATTAATTAGAGAATTATATAATGATCCAATAATACTTAAAAGACATACGGGTGAAATAAAATTGTTTCCTGGTAAGTTTTAAGGAAGTGTTTGTTTCGAATTATAAATTAAAGTTATATTTTTTTAGACATTAATGGTGCAGTAGATGCTATCGTAGAAGTTCATGGTAAAGGAGACTTGGCACTCAAAGTAGATCTTCTAAAAGAGTGGTTACAACCTTCGTCATTGGGATCAATGGATTCTCCTGATAAAAGTTTAATGTCACCAACTAATTCATTTTATGTAGCTCAAGAAAATACAACAATCAGCGAAGGTGTATTAAGGTGATAATTTTTATTTGAAATAGTTTAAATTTTGTTAAATACAGCTAAATACTGAGATTTGTTAATAATGTTATTACATTTAGAGCATGCTATCTATTAGAAAATGATACACCAGCGTACAATTTACATAATTTTCTTATATGCCAAGCTTATAACGAAGATGACAGTGATTCTATGTGCCCAACAAGTGTCCGACTAAGAGCATTGCAATGTCTGTGCTTGGTAACAACTGAAAATATTGAAGAAATTACTTGTCGTTCAAAAGAAATGATGAAGTAAGACTATACATTTTTATTATTTCTATATTGCACTTTAATAATTAAATAACTTAACTCATTTGACTATTAGAAATAATTTGGTTGAATTATCAATTATCACTGAATTGGAAACTCTCGGAATCAATTTTTCCCCAGTAAGATACCGTGGATGTGATAAATCCAAACTAGTCCAATCATTGATGGCAAGAAGATCGTCGAGTTCTACTAAATTAGCTTCACATTTATGTGTTTTATATTCAGATGCCATGAATCCCAGTATTTGGGATTTATTACTTACTAGATTGATTCATTTTACAATGATTATTGAACTGGATAAAGTACTTGTTCATTTGATGGATAAATGGCATAAATTGACATTTGACATAGTAGAAAAAGCCTGGAATGTTTTTCTAAGGTCTTCATTCAACAGTGGTATGAATTCATCCAATAATTAATTAAATAGTAATAAATAGTGATGTTACAAACTGACAGTTCTATTTTCCAACTGTAAAGAACTATGAGAGTCAAACTAATGAAATTATAATTTGAACTCGGTTTGTTGAGAAATATATATAAATAAGTTTGGTTTGAGTTTGATTAAAATGTTGAATAATTTGGTATTTTTTTAAGGGTTCAAATAAAAAATTGTGAGCTCAGTTTATCTAAAAAGTCAGGGTTTGTAGCATCACTATACTCTATTCCAATAAGATTGCCCACTTGTGCGCATGCATACTGAGCTTGGACTCCTTCGAGCGGTGTCAGATACTCTATGATTGGTCGGCAACCTACGTTACTCCTCGTTTTTTGTCGTGTAAATGGGAGGAGTTGCGCGGCTCAGACTAGTTTTGCCCTCAAGTGGGACATCTTATTCCGAAAAGAGTGTAATAAACAATTAAAGTAATACCAGATTTTTTATAAGTTATTATTTTCTTTTTTTAGCTAAAGATTCTTATGAAGTTATACATTGTGTCAAATTGGTTTTTAGTTGTCCAGTCATAGATAGCATTGATCTAAAACAAATTATTGAACATTGTGAGCGTTTTCAACTTGATCAATATGTGCAAAAGTTGAAGTGTCTGAATTAAGATTTTTTTATATAGATACATAAATAAATAATTGTTAGTTTAATTTTTATACTAATCTAAAACTGTCTAATTATAATTTTTTTTAACAAAACTATTTTATTACAAAATATACAAAATATGATAATTTATTATATGTGCAATGATCATCTCATTTATTCTTCAAAAACTCTTTTTAATTCCGCTTCTCTTCGTTCTTGGAATATCCTCTTGAGGTCAGAAATTTTTTGTTGAGGTTCTGGTCTTTCTGGCGGAAACATCTCCCTTTTGAATTTTATTACTTTTTCTTCATAATTTTCTGGTAAGTTGAAGTAATGGAATAGTATAACAGGAAATGCCATATAAATACTCATTCGTAACACCTCCAACTGCCATTTGCCCATATCTAAATGAAATTTAAAAGAGGATTTAACATGATTATAATAAATTGTATTATAATAATTTATCTTAAATATATATTTTTTTTTTTTTTTTTTAATTTGAAGATATACTCAAGATTAATATTTTTTTAGATTAAAATTACATATATAGTTTATACTTATTCATATTAATTTATATTGATTTTACAAATATATTTATTTGCTTTAAATTATTTAAACAAGTAAAATACAAGTTAAATGTTAATAAGTGCATAAGTTAATATTTAAAAATAATTGTGTGTATTCCATAATAATAAAGAGTTTTATTGAATTTTGTTGTTATATAATCAAACAAATACTTATGAGGTACAGTAATGAATAATGATTTTTTGAACTTCAAGTGAATACTAAACTGTTATAGTACCTACATTATATTATATTTTCTGAATTATATGGACTTAGTGCTCACATACAAACACAATAAACTTTTTTAAATATTTTCATGACATACTATAATTTTAGATTCTGAGTGAAACGATGAATGTATTGATTTTACAATGATGTGTGTTTTTTTTTTTTTTTTTTTTTTTATTTTTGTGTCTGTGTACACGATAAGTAGTCGAAATAATGCTTCGATTTTCGACTTCAGTATCTTGTTCGACTGGAAAGTGAATATCGTTGGTGCATTGGGGAGGTCAAAATTTAAATTTCCCAGTAGTTTTCAAGAGCGCCGGGAAAAACAACATAAAAATTAAGGAAAAACGGGAATTTTTACGCAAAATCGGTTTTCCAAAAAATCGATTTTGGTTTTTGGTGTAACTTTAAAACAAATAACCGTAGATACATGAAATTTTCAGTGGTTGTTTATATTTGCATTTTCTATACACGATAACATTTTCAAAATATTTTGATTTATTTTGAACAGTTTAGGGACATTTTCATTTTTAGTTTTTTTTTAGTTTTTTTTCTAGAAATATCAATAAAATTTTATTTGTTGGTTGCGAAAGCTTGAAAATTTAATAGAAGGCTCCTAATATGTTGTTTCAAAGGCAGATGAAAAATATTAAAAATCCTTAGTCACAATTTTTTTTTATAAGCATTTAAAGTTCAAAAATTGACAAAATATGGAAAAATCACGAAAATTAGCAAATTATTTTGAGTTAAGAATTCGTAAAAATTTTTCTTTTTAAATCTAAGATTTGAAAATCTAATACAAGATTACTCATAAGATTGTCTACCTTTATCAATAAAAAAATTTCTACCGGAAAGTCAAATTAAATTTTTATGAGCGTTTGAAATTCAAATTTTTACAACATTGGATATTCACTCGATTTCTCATGTGGCAATTTCCTTTTTTTGTTGTAATTAAAAAACGAATTACTGTAGATACATGAAAATTTCACTGAATGTTTATATTAGCATTTCCTATACACCCTACAATTTTGAAAATATTTTGACACTTTTTGAGCCGTTTACGGACATTTTCAGTTTTCAATTTTTTTAGTTTTTTTTTTCTATAAATATCAATTAAGTTTTATCTGTTGGGCCAAAAAGTGTAAAAATTTAATACAAGGCTCCTGATATATTGTTACAATATCAGTTGAAAAATATTAAAAATACATAGGCACAATTTTTTTTTATAAGCATTTTAACATCGAATTTTGATAGAATTTTTCAAAATCTCGAAAATTATTAATCATCGTAATTAATAAATTATAAAATGTTCAGTTTTTATAGCTAAGGATTGAAAATTTAAAACAAGATTAAGTAAGTAGTTAATTCTCTTACCGAAAAATCTAAAAAATATACAATCACAGTTTACTTTTATAGTCATTTTATGTTCAAATTTGGACGAAATTACATATTAAAAAACCTAGTTATTTTGTTGTGATTATATAATATTATTCGTGGGTACCTACTTGAAACTTCTAAAGTGTACTATTATATATATATGATAGTATCAGGGTTTGTTGTTGATGTTGATGTATAACGTGTTATAAGTACCTAATGGATATTGTGATAATGTGATATGATTAATTTGGAATTTATTATAGGTCAATTTTTTTTTTAATACCATAGATATGTATATAATTTGTATTAAACCTAGACTGACATACCGTCTTCGCTCAGAATCGTTTTTCTTATACAATGATATTGTATCATTGAATTCAAATTTAATAGCATCCATTATACAGTGACCCACTTGTAACCTACTGTACAGCAGAGCGACATCCACTTACCCACCTTTTTATAGTTTAATCCTGTTATATTTTTTTACAATTTAATTGTCTTACCTTTATTTTAAATGTATGATTCAATAAATGGTAAATAAAACACACCAGACAGTTAAATACTCAATAGTTAATAAATACTAAATAGTCCAATAATACAAAATGTAAAAAAGCAATTAAATTGTATTTTTATTTCTATAGAATGTCATAAAATAGAAATAATTATAATCCACGATCGCTGTTCAATGTAGTATCTAGTAACTAAGTTCATACTTCATTCTGCATTCAACATTTCAGCATTTTCCACGGATAATGCATAGAGATAAGAGATTACTTAATGAATATGGGTAAAAAATGTCTTATCAATTATCACGTTTCCAGCTGATGATACCACTAAAACCGCTAGCGAAATTTGAAAACATGCTACGTTTAGTCATTTTACTTTTCTCCTTATCATTGATCAAATTTCATCAGTGTTATCAATCATTTTTATCATATTTTTTGAAAGACTGATATTATATTTTTATTTACATTTTTCATTTATATTTATTGTGAATTTTTGTAATACTAAATAAGACAAAGAAGAAAATAGCAAAACTAACAACAACAACTTAGGTAGGTATTAATGTATTATATAACATTATTATTAACATTATTATATAACATTATTATTTTGATTATTATTAATTTTTGGAAGTGAATATGGATGTTATTAATTAAGGAAAAAATGTATGTAAGTTAATTTATTGTAATTATGACATTTATTAAATATTAGATATTATTATACTAGATTGATTTAGGGTACTTTGTAAATAGTTACTTTATAATGAATAGTGAATACCGCCTTCACTAGTCAGTACATACACTTGTGAAAATTAGTAATTACTTTATTAAAATAATTTTAGTATAAATTTAATATATAATATAAATATAATTTTTGTTTAAATATTTACGTCCAATGTTATAAGTATAAAAAAAGCAGGTAAAAAAGTATTTACTTACATAAAAAACTAAAAAACTAAAAAAAAACCTACAGATTTGTAACACCAATATATTCTGCGTTTACTTTAAATCTAAAAATTTTCAAATAATATTAATTATTATACTCACAAAAAATAGTATAAAAAACTAAATGTTGTGGCATAATGTGTCAAATAAAAAATAATATATATTTACAAAAAAAACATAAAGTAACAAGCTATTTTGAACTGTGTGTACCTCCTAATGCTTTATTATTTTCAACACAATATGCCAAGGAATGTGGTGCTTTCGATTTGCGTTTGACTTTGGGTAATCCACTTGATATTATTTGCCCTTTTACATACCCATGTTCTGGAGCTTTTTTCCATTTAGGAGTTCTTCCTGCAGTTAAATTTTTTCGTCCTTTAATTTGTGTTTTTCTTCTTGATCTTGCAGTTGGCTGTGTTCCAATTTGTTTATTGCCTGCTAATTTAGGTTTTTTTGAACTTACATCTAAACCAGAATACCTACCGAATGTTGACAATGCAGAAGAAAGACTAGCATCGGTTTTGACACTTTTATTGTATGAATTTACAAATGCATTCATAGATGGTAAGAAGTATGTTTTGTCAGATAGAATTGACTGTTTCATTTTTTCAATGACTTCATTGAAAGAATCATAAGCTTTGTCAAAATCGTTGTTGGCTGATTCTAATAATTCAGTAACTCCAAATTCATTGTGTGTAGTAATTATTGCCGCATTTTTTATTTTATTATCCACTGTGTTTTCTGTATTTAAAGGAACTAAATCTACCTTTGTTTGACAGTCATTATCATTAACCGAGCCATACCAACCATTCTCAATGTCTGAACTTCCAGAAGCTATTGTGTGGAGTTTTTTCCTAAATTCTTCAGTAGTCGGTAAACAAACACTCAAATTTAAATTTAAATCTTGCGCTACATAAATTTGATGTTTACAGGGGTATCCAGTATCTCCCTGCGGACATGAGCACATTCCAAGGTCTAAGTCGACATTATATTGTGTATTTTTTTTTTTATTTCGTACCTCATATAGTAATGTATTATTATCAATTATTTTATAGTTTTATACTCTAAATTGTTTTTTTGATTATTTGTAATAATAAATTTGTTTTTCAGGTATTGAGCTGGTCTATTAGCTGCTACATCTAAAAGCTTCATTTCATAGAAAGCATCTAGGTCATTGACTATGAAAAAAAATAATTGTACTGGAGAATACGCCTTGGTTCTTTCCAGTATGACGTCCTTAACAATTTTCACGCCAGCCTCGCTTATATTATTCGTATTTTGACCTCTGGTTATCAAGCCTTTCCTAAAACATAATGCCCACTGCTCTTTCCTTTGGTATAAATTGGTTAAATATGTTATAAATATTGGGTATGTTTTAACTAATGTTTGTTGAAGTGCCTTATTAAATGTACTTGCAAGTTCTTCTTCATTTTTTGAATATATCATTTCTTTTATTATAGAATATAAGGTATAGCGATGATGAAGAGGTACACCGTGGTTTGAATCCCATAGATACCTCCAAGTAGCTTGTAGAACGTGAAAAATACAAAGTAAAAGTATTGATTCAGGAAAAACTGAATGCAATGCACTTCTTTCAGCCGCCGAGTCATCAGACATAAAAATCTTTGGACCTTTTGTACCTCTACCTGCCAGTGATTTAGGTATAAATAATTGTTTCCAAAGCTTTAATCCTTCAGAAATAACTAATGTGGATTCACTTGTTAATATTAGTGTTCCTACAGGTATACCTCCAGCACAACTATTTGTATAAATCATGAAGACTTTACAACCATACCTGTCCATATTTGCTGAAGCATCTATAAAAAGAATTTCTCCACATTCATTTAATTCGCAACTAATTCTGCTCATTAAAGGAGTGACTATTGCTATGGCAAAGTTTCCATTCTCAAGTTCTTTCATAGCAGCTGTGTCAGACATGCATTCAGTATTATATTCTTGTATTGCATCCTTTAGAGATGAAATCATTTGCTCACCATGTGAAAAGCCAAAATGTTTTTTAAAGGTTTTGTAATATAGATAATAAACCCATTGTGGATCAGGCAGTTCTCCACGGTCACCAGCACATATATAGTAATTATTACCTTTTTCAGTTCTCAACTGAGTTTTAAAAATAAATAGCGCTTTTGATGGCGTTTTACCTTCCTCAAATAATTTCAAAAACTTGGCTTTTATTTCCTCAGATGGTATTCTGTGTTTCATGACATCAGCCCTTAAAATATGGTGGTTATGGGTGTGTTTCAACAGAACCCTGGCATATGTTTTGAAACTATTGGATGAAGAATTGTCATCGTTCCTAGATTATAAATAAAAATTAATTCAAATACATTTGTTTATTAATTGAACTTACAACGTAATATGCTCAGACAACAAATCATTATCTTCGTCTTTTAATATTTGTATACCCAATGTCGCTTTACAGTCGAAATGCTTTTCACTTGGATTTGAATTAGCCTTTGGTCTTGTGTTGTGATGACATCTGTATCGTTTCTATTTAAAATTCAACAAAAAATAATAAAATGTATTTATACACACACATTTATTATTAATACCTTAAAAATAATATCTGATCTATCTGTTTTTCGCACACTAGATGTCAAATATGTAACTTTATTTTCATTTCTTATGGCCATAATCCAAGGATCAATGTCATCAACTCCAAATTTATGTATAATAAATGTTGCTATAAATTTATTATCATCTGAACCTGTATATTCCACCATGGAATACTCATAACCGGTAGGAATTTGACTCTAAACCAATTATAGATTAGTTTTATTAATAATTTCTTATAAGTAGACCTCTGAACCTTTACTTATTTTGTATTTTAAAAATTCTAATTTAGTTTTAATATTTAATGTAAATGTAAATATTTATTTTAAAAATTACTTGTAAACAATTGTATTCATCATCTCTTGTTGTATGTGTCTTCATATGTCGAACCATATTTGATTTAAGAGTAAATGTCTTTTCACATTTTTGGCATTTTACTGTCTTACCTTCAGTGTTTTGTTTTTTTTTAATTATGCCATGTTTTTGTTGTAAATGTTTTTGCAGGGTAACATTATGTTTGAATTTTTTCTCACATTTATCACAATCAAACGTCTATAAAGAAATTTAATGCATTTTCCATATGTATTTTAATGATGACACTTTGATGCACATTCATAGCAATATAAGTTGCTAGAAATTTGGCTTATACTTAGTAATGTACCAAGTTTCAAGAACAGATTTTTGAGGGAAAAAAATTCAATAAGTTTCCAAAACCATCAATATTAAAATAAACAATTTATTCATAGCTACAATATCATATTCATATATTACAGATTAATTAAGAACAACATTTAAAGTAATATTTTTATTTATTTTCCAGCCGTATATTAATTACACACAATAATATCAATGTATTTAATTTGAAATAAAATGTTATTTTTTAATAATACATTAAAAAAATCACAATAATAATATGAGTATAATAAATAAAAACATAATAATAGCATATATTAATTATTATCACCTTCATTGTAAATCAATCTAGTCTAGAAAAAATATAAAATATAAATGAAAAATGAATAATAAAATATAAAATAAAAATATAATATTAGTCTTTCAAAAAATATGATGATATTATATGATAACCTAACCTAATGTAGATATTATATAATTTGGACAGGAGAAAAATTATAAGTAAAAAGTACTACCTAAAACTTGTTGAAGCCACTATACATTTATTGGATACTATACATATATATAAAAAAAACTTTTGAATACAATTTTTTAATCCATTTATACATCAATCACAACCAGATTTTTACTCAAATTTCGAGGTAGATACCTTTAAAAAATTAAACAAAAATAATACCAACACCAACATTAATAATACATTCAAAAATTCACAATAATAATACGAGTATAATAAATAAAAATATATAAAATATAATAGCATATATTAATTATTGTCACCTTCATTGTAAATCAATCTAGTCTAGAAAAAATATAAAATATAAATGAAAAATGAATAATAAAATATAAAATAAAAATATAATATCAGTCTTTCAAAAAATATGATAAAAATGATTGATAACACTGATGAAATTTGATCAATGATAAGGAGAAAAGTAAAATGACTAAACGTAGCATGTTTTCAAATTTCGCAAACCGCTATATTAACTCAATGGAGTGTACCACGGTAGAAATTCTTTAATCATAAACTTAAGGGGGGTTCACACTACACCGTGTCGTGTAAAATAATCACGGTTACCACAGTTACCAAACGATACCGCATAGTTGAATATATTCAACTTTTGACCGTGTGGTTACATTTATGTGCAGATAAAGCCGGGTTCATACTTAATGTAACCACACGGTCAAAAGTTGAATATATTCAACTATGCGGTATCGTTTGGTAACTGAGGTAACCGTGATTATATTACACGACACGGTGTAGTGTGAACCCGCCTTAAAAAAAAAATATTTATTCAATCTACAATGCAACCAACACGGTTATTACTACTTATTAGCATGTAAATGTATTAAAAATTAAATATAATAGTAACCTTGATATATTTACCATTAAAATTAGTAACTCGTTTGTTTAAATTTTTAAATACATTATTGAATTTTTAAATACTTGTTAATATTCATAAATATATAAAATTATATTTTTATAATTTGTTTTTTCAATTTTGAAGGATGTGTTGGTAACACTATTATCAATTTGTTGCAACAATCAACATAACCTGAAATTAAAAATGTTACCTACTCTTTTGCTCTTCGTGATTTAATATCGTGTCGGAAGTTCCTTTTTAGTTTTTTCTGGGCTATATAGCTTTATAATTCTACGTTAAAACTTTGTATATTTATTGAACGTAAGTACATTTTAGTAACCCTAAGTATTTAATTCAATAGAATTAATTCAATTCAATATTTTTCTTGTCATCCGGTATTCTAACTTTAATATTATAAATTGTTAAATATTAGCCATGTGGCAATGTCACTCTTCGTCCATTCATTAATATTTCTTTTAAAAAATAATTGTTGATTGTTTATTCAGAATAAAAATGGCCCCAAGAAAAGGAAAAGTACAGAAAGAAGAGCCAGTAGTCCAACTGGGACCACAAATTCAAGAAGGTGAATTGGTTTACGGCGTTGCTCACATTTTTGCTAGCTTCAATGATACATTTGTGCATGTAACAGATTTATCTGGAAGGTAAATATTGTTTAGTGATACAACTGTAGGCCAAATTAACCAAATTACCTCTTATCCAATTATGTTGAAATCAATTTATAATGTACATAGCGCATACTACTTGTATATTACTGTAAACGCATTTGATACATTTTTTTAAAGAACGATTTACAACTTAATATGTTATATCATTTTCAGGGAAACAATTGCTAGAGTTACTGGTGGAATGAAAGTAAAAGCTGACAGAGATGAAGCTTCTCCTTATGCTGCTATGTTGGCTGCCCAAGTATGTTTTAATTGTTTATCATAGTCATTAATCTACATAAAAACAATTAGTTAGTTAAATGATACTTCTTCATTATCGTGGGTTGGATTAAAAAGATGTCATCGAACTAATATTATTTTATCTCGCCGACCCAGTTGCAACAGACAAATGGAAATACAATTTTGTTATGTTAGATTTAATATTGGAGTGAATTGGCCTATTATCAAACTTGAGTTGAAAACATATTTTTGTATATCTGCTTTGTCACAATATTTCTTATTCTTCTATAATGTATAAGCATCTTTAAACTAAATATTTTGCATACTCATAATTTGCATAATAATTAAAATATTATTAAAATAGCCAACATACAAACACAGATATTGCTCTTAACTTAAAGTTTAATGATAAGTTTGTTCACCCTTACAGTAAAACTAACCACCCAAGATGTTTCTTGAACACTAATTTATTATGGTTTTCTGAGTTAAAGAGAAAATAATATTTTGCTGAAATCATACCAATCAAAACTCATCCCTCATCATTTTTATATTTATATTTCTTTCATAAAAGTTCTTATCTTGTAAACCTTTGTTGGCGTTAACTAAATATTATTGCTGTGTAAAAGGTAATATTAGTGTTCATTTTCTAAATGATAAATAATTACTTCTTCTTTATTATTTAATAATTTCATGTTAATTACCAACAATTATAATTATACATAGTTAGTGTTGACAATAAAACATAAGTAATACCTATATCACACCCATAGGTATATACAACAACTAGATAGCCTTCTTTATACTACAGTTGTGACCAATGTTGAAATAGGCTGCCATTTATAAAGCAGGCAATGTTTACATTTATTTTACATTGATTTTACATTGATTTATATACATATATACTGCAATAATATTATTTTGTAAACATTGCCTGCTTTGTAAAAGGTGGCCGACTTCGATGACAAGAAGGAGACGGCTATCTAGTTGTTGTATATATCTATGGACACTCCTGAATTAAATCAAATTGAATATTGTTTGTAGCATTGTAATGACCCATTAACATCAAAACTTATTATTATACGTTTTTAAAAATGAATTCAAAGTTTTTGGGAAGTATTTTAACAATTTAGGAGATCTTCTATCATTATAAAAGTTTAGTAAACGCCATTCTATCTATAGATTTTAGATAAGTGTTTACATAATATACGAGGTTACAAATAAAATAACTAACTAATGTATTTAGGATGTAGGTATATTGTATATATGTATTAAAATACATATTATATTTATATTAGTTATGTCATTTAAATATAATATATTTAACATACTATATAACTTTTTTAATCGTACATGTTTTAATAGTATAAAAAATTAATGCCAATTCAAAAATGATCTCTTATTAATCATAATTAACAAGTTCACTGAGTATCATATTTTTGTATACTTGTGGCGCTGATAAAATTCTAGTTTTAAAAAAAAATTCCTAAAAATTGAAAAATTAAAATATCAGTGTACGGTTTGCACTTGATTATGAAAAAATGCTTATGGAAGACGCTGACAAAAAACCAAAAGTTGAATCGTAATGCTGACCAAATTATGGTCCATTAAATAACAAGGTACATGATGCTAATTGGCGTCATTCAGCATATGCGAACTATGTCCAATGACGCCAATTGTAGTTTTACGCAGTAAACGTGTTAAAGTATCAATTTGTATTCAACTAAGTGTTAAATAATACTAATCCAAAAAATTGATTATTATGTTTAGCTTACACTCGTTTAACCAAAAGTACATACTTGAAAAAAGTTAGATACCATTTATATTTTAATACTTTTTGTGCAAATAAATCTATGTGCTCATAAGATCATGATAGTTCTCATAATCTATCATAAGATTTAGATTATAACTCAAACATGTACAGGATAATTCAAAATGAATAAATATTATTACACATAACATTAATTTATTATTTACTTTAATTTTAGGATGTTGCTGAAAAATGTAAATTACTGGGCATCACAGCTTTGCATATTAAATTGAGGGCTACTGGTGGAAATAAGACAAAAACACCTGGTCCAGGAGCACAATCTGCATTGCGTGCTCTGGCTCGTTCAAGTATGAAAATTGGCAGAATTGAAGATGTAACACCAATTCCCTCAGATTCTACACGTAGGAAGGGTGGTCGCAGAGGTAGACGTTTGTAATTTACCAATTTTCATTTGTATTGCATATTGTGTATATCACAAACATTAAATTGGATTTCTCTTTATACAAAGATTTATTTTTTCTTTAAGACTATTTCCACACAATTTCCTAATATTTCCTTAATTTACTATTATTAATATACTAATTATGTCACTATACTCTGTTCCACAAGAGATCATGCTGCGCACCGACCTAAACTGGTTCCCCTACGCCACACCCTGTCATAGGGGAACCAGTTTTGATGACAGGGTGACGTAGGGGGATGTGCAGAACCGGCATGATCTCTCGTGGAACAGAGTATACAATAAAAATCATAATTTTTGTTTCAATATCCTATATTATAATTGATCCAAGGCAATTACAAATTTGCATGGCTATTTAAGGTTCTAGAGGTGGACAATTTAATATGTTTTGTCAGGAATATTTAAAAATATTATTCTATATCTTCTCATATTTTTATTCTTTATGAAGAAGTGTTTTATAATGGCATATAAAAAAAACTAATTTTTAAATTAGTTTATTTTTGTTATTATTAATTATTTAAGAAAAAAAAATATTGAATACTATACAAAATTCAAAAATTGTATACTTCAATAAATATTAAATATGAATCTGTTATGACTGGTGGACTCATTTCACTATTTTTGTTTTGGTAATATTGTGTGTTGTACTGTGTACAGTGTAAGTAAAATATTAATATTTAGTCGGTACTGACAGAAAGATTATTTATCTTTAACTAAAGGTAACACAAGGCAGGAGGTGTTTTTAAAAAGATTAATACCAACTAAAATCAAGTAGTACAATATGAAAATGTGAATATATTAAGCAGTACAGCTGAATTTCAAAAACTTGAAAAAACGGGAATATAATAATTGTTTAATAAATAATTATTCAACGGTAATAGGTAGTGGAGCGTGTAGACGATTTTTGATAATTTTAATTTGTTAAATACTCGATCACAATTAACCTGAGACACCGATAAGGTAAGCATATAAATTAGAATAAGTAGGCATATGTAAATTAAGTAAATTAAAAACAATTCAGACAATTCTCTTAGGCATGTCGCATGTATAGCTTTTTCATCATGAATAGTACTGATAGTAGAACCAATTCACATTCGAATTCTAATAAAAATGTTTGCATTTAAATATTCTTAACACGAATATTATAATACCTATAGGATAAACTTGAATTAAAAGTATAGCAGTATGTTAGCAAATACTTCAAAAATATCTATATTAATAATAGGGTAATATTTGGACAATAATATTTTTATACATTGAAAACTCAAGTGACCGCAAACAATGTTTATATTTGTTGGTACTTGAAAACTTCCTTAATAATATTTTTGTATTAGGAATAGTGTAATGTTGAGTTATTTGAATTCAGTCTTTTTAATGAAAATAATATAACAATTTATGATAAAAAATATATATTTTACGTTACAAGACCTATTGCCCTAAATCAAATATTAAAGAAAAAAGACTATTGTTAGACCAGAAAAATAAATAAATATCTATCTTTCAAATTCAGAAAAATTATGAGTTTAAATAATAAATATTCATGGCATTTCAACAGTTATAACTTATAACTTTGGTTAAAAACGTTTTTATAGACCTCAGAACCTATGTTTCAATTCAGTAGAATACAGGGATAAAAATGTGTAAAAAAATATTTTCCAAATTTGAAAATGGTCAATTAGGAAGGATTGCCTAATATTCACTTTCAGACCACTGTGGGCTATCACGACATCGCTATTGTATTCTGTGTTTATTTTTGAATATTTCCAAAAGCTCAGTAAATTTGTACTGCAGTACAATCATGATTCGTATTATACACATAAAATATTTTAATCACAACTTAAGTTTAACTAGTAAGCCCTTGTTTAATTAGAATTTTTTTAGCCCTCGGCCCACTGTGCTGTAAAATAGTAGCACAGTGGCCCAGTCTAGCCCTGGTTAGGGCTTAGGTTAAGTACCTACCTATTACCAAATATAAGTTGTACAAGGTAAGTCGTACTTCTATAATAAATTCTATATTATACTTATTCCAATAAATGGTGGCCATACGGCATACGCCCATATTCTATTTTGAATGAACAGATTTGTCCATAAGACGAAATTTTAATCTTACAGAAAATGTCCTTGACCCCATATATAATTTAGAGATAGGTCGTTTGATTTTAAAAATTGTTGAGCTCCGTATCTTTTTTTGGTTTTATGCGATTGGCCCAACTAAGTATTTTTACTTACTCTTTTGTCCAAGTGAATACCAAGACCTCTGGCATTTTTTTTTTTTGTTTTGGTGGGGGGGATTATATTGAAGATTTATATTAGGGTCTGGGTGGATTGGTATCAGGATGGTGCTTATTTTTATTATCCAAAGTTCAAACCAGTTTTGTAAGTCATCGAGCTATCTATTATGCAATAATATGCATAATGTATACTGTTTAGTCTATAAGTCTATCACATGATACTTTCGGACATTCCTCTCCACGCCTTTGTTATTTATTTTAAATTCGTCGGTTTAATGATACCGACACCATTTCTCCACAGCTATGCGCCTATGCAAAATAGGTAATGCTTATGATTATTGACAGCATCCGGACGAAAATTATTCTTTCCGTCATTATACGATCATTATTCTATTAAACCATTATGGTTCATGATATGGCTCAGGGTCGATGCTATACGCGTTTAATCGGGAATGCAGGACCCATCATATTTTTATGGGTAGGTGGCAATAAATAACGAAATCAAAAATCGTGTTTTTAAACTTTCAAATATTTTCAGATGCAGACATGTTGTTAGTTGTTACGGTATTGAGGGGGCGATAACTAGTCTTTTTATATCAAACTATTTGCGTCGTATAAAAATTTTGAAAAGAATAAATAGAAATAATGGTGGATCGTCATTTATACCTCCGAATATTAATTTACTTAATGAGTTTTTTTTTGTACTTTAATTTAACAATATAGGCATTTAAGGGTGTATTCTGATAGCCCGATAACGTAAAATGGGGTAACTTTGATAATTTTTTACTGTCTTATAACAATTTTACTTTTTATTTTATGGATAACTTATGTAGTACCTATTAACGATTCAACTCTCGAAATTAAATATTAGTTACAGCTAGTTTGATCAATATTTTAACGTTTTAATTTTTAAATTTCTGATGTTATTTTTTGAGATAACTATCTTGTAAATATGCTATCAAAGTTACACAATATAGTAGGAAACTTTGATACCTATATTTCTTAATGTGAAATAAAAGTAACCCCATCAACCATTTTATGACAAAAAAATTAAATCGTCATGATGATCTGGTGAATAAAAATATATGGGTATTAAAGTTACCCCATTCTACGGTAGTACGGTACATAATTAAAAATTAAATTGCATTGAATGTATCTGTTGATATTAATATCGTAGATATTTTACAATTGATGCAGTTACCATAATATTTAATATTGTCAAACATTTAATTAGGTAGGTACGTAATTAAAAATCAACTTTTTCCTATTATTTATGTAAATGTCTAATAAGCAGACAATATTATAATCGTATATCGTAACCAGTCAGATAGTCTGATCAGTATACGTAATTACAGAAAAAAAATACGTATTTAGTAACGCTACTTTTTAGGATAAAAACTTTAAACGATTTATCATTTAATGCCCAATCAACAACTTGATAAAAAATATTCAAATACTTAATAGTTTATATTCAATGTATATCGACTAATAAGGCGTGAAAAACAAAAATCAACAAACAAGTTGTCAACAGTCAACACAACAATTATTTAGCATCGGGTTTTTCGCTATTGCTCATTAGTGTATTATTCCACCATAATGTCATCGGGTCATATAGTGTCTGAATAGTGACATGATTGTCAATTGTCATGATTAAATAAAGTAGTGGCTTCTGACTTCCGAGTAATGAGTATTGACGTCTGCTGCACTCTGTTGGAGTAAATACTACTAAAGTAGTAAAGTACTAAAGTACTAAATAGTAAATAGTAAATAGTAAATAGTAATGAGCATTATTGAGCAGTGAGTATTGAGCATTGCCCATTGGACAATGGACTTCCGCTTATTCCGCACACATTTGAGGTTATGTAGTTTATAACGTACGTTTCCGACGCATAGGTTTCCGTTTCGAAGTTTGTGCAGTTGCAGCTGTGAACGCGCACCCTACATCTATTATTTGTCCTTGACGGAAAAAAAACTAAAAAGATCTGTTGTTGTTCTACTGCCTTCTTTTCAGTTTTCAGTTCGGACAGTTCGGTAATCGTCGCGATGATTGTTGTTTCGGTCGATAATCTTTTTTTTCGCTCGAAAGTTCATTAGTTTCTGTGAATTATCTTCTGTCGTGCGAGTTTTGAATAATTCTATACAATTACACTGAAAGTGGTCGGAATATCTATTAGACGATACATTTGAAGCGTATTCACGAACAAATGTGCACGACGATAAACCTGTTATCATTTTACGACGAGCCCAAGTTGTCGGTAAGTCCTTTGCAATTTATATTATTTTCATTTGTCCTTTTAATTTTATTTCTTTTTAAATATAATATCTTTATCCCCATTTTCGTTTTTTACTTTATTTCCGGCTGATCGTCTACTGCCGAGTTAAGGACATTTTAGTGGACCAAGTAAATATCTAAAATTCGCGATAAACCAGCTGATGGTAGGTGCCTTTTTTTACTGTAGGCCTTTAGAATACACTTAGAATACACCCTTTTTTGAGGTATTTAAATACTGCAAAATTATATCAACATATCAATAAAAAGTAAATAAATATTGAAAGGTGGATGTAGAGTGAAATTATTGTAAGTTTATCCAGTAACGTTGTATATGTAGGTATAAATCTCGGTATAAATACCAATTTAGGAAACATTAAAAACTATTCATTAGTACCTTGCCTACCTATAAATAATGTACTCTGTCTAATCTTTCTGCAACAAACCAATTACCTACCTACTCTCATTTAGTTGTA